ACATCAAATCAGCATATTATCTAAATCCAGTGGTACATACTTGCATGAATATATAAAGCATTATAGTAAATAGTATGAAACTTAGAGTAAAGCTTTGTGTATCTCCGGTCAGATTAAAAGTCTCACTATTAAGAGTAAATCATCATTGAGAACAAGACAGCAGATGTAGCTCTAGATCAACACCCTGCTGTCAATAGTTTTACCTCATGTTGCAAAATGAATGAAGTCCATTTCCTGCAGCAAGTAAATTGAGTTTCAAGAGTGTTCAAGTCTGCCTCTAGCTTCTGCTCATGGTACTCTTCTTCATCTTCATGCTTGGTGTGTCCCCTTCATGTCTGCCATCAGCGTTAGATTTCTTAATGAATATCAAGAAAGTCAGACAAGTCTATTTTGACTGTCCCTTTCTTTTGCTGAACGAGGCACAGGACATCAGTGAAAGAGACAACCTTGCTTGCAAGCTGGCTCCTGCTCTCCCTGTCGCTCTTATGCTTTCATGCGCACAGTTTGCACCGCTCCCTTCTCCTCCAGCCCTCCCTTTTGTGTGAATTCTCACTCTCTCCTACACATCTTGTTTGTTCTCTGCCTCTGTGTAACAACATAATTGCAATGACACAAAAACCAGGGCATGCAAGATGCCCAGCTGTTTTACGGGGCTCCTTGGATAAGATAACATTTACTTAATACAACAGCTTTCTACTGTACTTACACATCAAAATAAAAATATTTTCAAGTTGGTTTGTTTTGTTTTTTTCCACAAAAAAATGTCATAGTCCTCTCCCTTTTCGGTTGACTCACGATTAATAAAGTGAGGACTCACTACCCGCCATTCATCGTTCTCCATCATTCAGAAATATTTGATGTCATTATATCTGTGTCTATACAAACTGAACGAAAAGCACTGACAGCTGCTGGTGAAACAGAGCACTGCGATCATGGTCAAATCCAATCATACCAAAGGCAGGGGGTAAAAAAGAAAAAGAAAAAAAAGGATGTCAAAAGAAATAATTAAACCAACTCATTAGTGAAGAAAAACCTTAATCCCACAGGACAATATATTTGCATGCTCTCCCTGCAGCTACTTAACTGCAAACGTCAGCTGAAAGATGCAGAGAACAAGCAGTCAAAAGTTCAGCAGCAAAGGGAAAAAATAGCAGGGAGCTTTTCACAAGCTAGCTGGGATGTCTGTGTCATAGGCTGTCAAATTATCAGGCTGGAATCAGGTTTTATTGGGGGGAAACGAGAGAAAAATGTTTTGCCAAGTTAGGCTTAGTTCCACCAAGCATTTTCCTCCAGTTAGCAGCAGCCAAAGTGGACTCTTATTGAAAATGCAGGTAAGAACATTTTGCTACAAACTTTCCAAATGAAATACCATATTTGCGCTCTGTCATGCAGTAACAAAGAAAATTATTTGTGCCATACATCGAAATGGCTAAATCCATTTGGTGGTGAGTGTTCAAACTTTCATTGCATGCATAAACTATGAGACTTTGACAAAGTTCAGGTACACATGTATTTCCATACAACATTTATTTTTAAATGAGCTCCTAATTAAGTTATCTATATGTTTTAGAAATATTTCTATAATCAGACAACCATTCAGGTTTAAAGGATTTGACTGAAATGCAAAATATTCAAGCTACACTAAGCAGCCACCAACCGTGCCATTTGAAAAAATCTCCATAAACCATGGCTTTGTTTTGATTTTAGCTTTATTTCCTGAAATAACCACTCAGAGTAAATTAACATGGGGAGCTGCCAGAGACGATAAATAGATAGCAATTTATTTGATGTTGAAATTTCTAAAGGGGCAGTAAAAAACTGTACTTAGCAAAGATAAGACGTCTAATCGACCAATGACTTCGCAATCCTAGTTTGACACTGCAAAAGGGTTTGTCTTAGGACAACCAGATGACCAGGATAAAGGGCATGAGCTAATTCCATTTAATGCCTAAAAATAAAGACTTGTTGCATCTACGTTGTACAAAGCTAGGTAGCTTATTTCATTGGATGGTGAAATTAGAGTTTAGAAAGTAAAGGGAACGTGGGAAGGAGCGCCACAAAGATCCGTCCCTAAAGATGAATACAAGGTGTTTCCTAATATGATTTGTTGTAGAGTAGAGAATGGTTTTATTCAAACACATGAAAACAACTTCACACCAACATGAACAACTTTTATGAAATAAGGTATGCACGTATTTGTCCAATGAATACATTATCTACATTATCTGTGAAGAGTCTTATTTCATAATGGAGCCTGCAGCTACTACCCCACCCCCCACCCCAAATTCTAATCACTCAGATCTATCCAATCTCAGACCAGACTAAACGCCTGCAGTCACCTCCCCTTTGTTCTGATCAATAACTCGTAGTTAAAGCAGCAACAATACAGGATGAACATCAGCAACAAAAATGTAATAAAATTAAGGGGAAACATCACTTGCAAATGTGATTAAGAAATGAACAGGAAAGAAGGGGAAACAGATAAAGATGGAGAGAGATGAACAGAAAGAGGAGCAACAGCAACAGCACCACGCTTGGTGCTCTGGCAGAGATCTATAAATAGCTCTTCAAATCTCTCTTGAAAAAGCCACTCTTCTACTTCTGCTGCTGAAAACACAGATTCAGAGACCCAAGATATAGATACCTGGTCTGCAAACACTGGTCACACTCTACTGGATAACAGCTTCCCGTCTCTGCCTTATTATTCTAGAAACTATGACACTAAAAAAACACCTTTAAAGCAGATCTCAGGTTGTATAAATATTAAATGAAAGACATGAATACCCTAAAAGGAGATTTTAAAAGATCATATAACCCACAAACCAGAGAAAGTACATTTCAACTCTACATATCCATTTGATGATGCTTCATCATTTGATATTTTATGGAGTGAGTGGAGATGCATAAATATACACAAGCTGCAGGGTAAAAGGGTGAAAATAAATTGACAGGAAAGCAGGATATTCCCTCCCTCTCACTGGTGGCCTTAGCAACGGCGGACTGTAGATTCGACTGACATCGCCCAGATCTTACTATGACCTACCCTTTTGTCAATGATTCTGCCTTGTGCCAACAATTTTGCCTGTGCTCAACAATCCAGATTTTTAAACAAAAAAGGCAATAATGGGGACAAATCTGTAAAAAAATAAAAAGGTTCTGAGCCTGTCAATGGTCCAAACCATAAAAACATATTTGCTCCTTCAAACTCTGCAAAGACCCAAGCTTCATGTCAATCCTAAAGATGGATATAGATACAGTCGTAATCACCCAATGCCCACTTTGTATATTTCAACATCAAATAACTGGAAAATGGCAAGAATATATATCTTTCTGCTTCCAGACAGGCATGTGGTTTCCCTGGAGCAGACGTTTGAATCGCACTTCTGATAGCCTGAGCTGTGATAGTTACTTGTTTATCACAACCATCTTGATGGCTATTTTCAGCTTGAGTGGCAAAAAGTGAAGCTAAAGCCAAGGCAGATGGAGCAGGGCATATTTCTCTACAAAAAACATATTCTGAAACTGTCATTTACAAATAACGCACCGCCACAAAAAGCTGTGATACTTGCATTTATAAGCAATGGGTGACTATACTTTGATGAGTGATATTAGTCTAAACTGCAGCTAGGTAAAGCAAGCCATTTAAGATAAGATAAACAACCTAAAAACAAAAAGGAATCATAATAGATGCATGACATATTGTTTCAGCTTAAATACTGATGTGTGCGGGCACTTACAACTCAAAAGCGAAAGCAAATCTATTAAAATGCAAAAATATACAATTTTGTTACCTACAAAACAAAGAACTTGCAAAGCTATAATTTCCTATGATTACATCAGGAGTAGTGTCTTATCTAAGAATTTGAACTCCATAAAACTTTGTTTATAAACCTTATTTTAAGAATAGTCAGTTCTCACAGGCATAAAAGTGTATGAAGCCAACAAAATCTGTGACAAACAGTAGAAAATCTATCACCCATAATATCCAACCAGCTGGACATTTCGGCGATGACATTATTTTTGCAAACAAAAACCTTAATAAAATATAATTCCTTTCCTACAAATAGTTCCAGAATGTCAGTGCTTTTTCCCCCCATAGATATGTTATCTGAGATCTCTTGTGTTTGTGTAGATCTTGTGTTGGAGACCCTGCAGACTCCATCCTGCTTACTGCAGCTTTCTTGCTTTTGACTGAAAATCTAAGTGCTGATGCTGACAGTCCACAGCCTGTGGATAAGGCAGGTGCACAAAGCCAAATATAGAAATGTTCCTTTTACATTGCTGACAGTGCAAAAGTACTGTGCCTCCACAATGTCAGTAAAAAGTGCTTAAAAGTTATGAAGATGCAGGGAACATAACCAGATTGAAAAAGCTTCTCATTGACAAGCCACAGCAATTAATTAAAATAACCTAAATAGCAACAAGTGGGTTACTGTGAATAATAGCAAAATCTTACTTGGAAAAGGCCCTTAGAAACAAGCAAAAAACAACTAATTACTTGACTGGCAAGCCAAGTATGAGTTATAATCACGTTATTTTTTTGCCACATCCTGAATGTCTGTACTATAGAATATTTGTTTATGGACTACTTTTAAAAAATAAAATAAACATCAGCTCACTATAATTTTACAACACACATCACCAGCTTCCAATTTACATCTGGTTTGGTAAAGTTTCAAACCACCACTGGACAAAGCCTCAGAAACCAAGGTCCAATGACTTAATTGACATATTGGCTACAAGATTCAATTTGTGATGCAAACGATTCGCAGTAACATTTAGATTCATTCAATCCATCTGATCGTTTCTATTTACTCCAATTACACTCATTCGCGGTTTCAACATCATCTCACGTTTAATAAGACAGAATGTTAACATGGCCATCTCGTGTCAGCCATTGAGAAAAGCGGACTTTAAAGATGGTGTTTCACGTCACATTTCTTACTGAAGATACCATCGATTTTAAGTTTACCTTAAGCTATCTTTCAGGTTAAACTTACCGTTATAGTGAACGTGCTTTTGGATCAATGTGGAGAATTCTTCAAGTTGCCACTGCAGAAAACAGATGGCAGTATGGTCACCCGTTGCTGTCCAATATAGTGAAAATATTAGCTTGCCCAAAGGCTAACAATAGCTAGCTCACGGTATTAGCCTCTTTCCTCCAGTGAGTATAATTAGCCACCTACAACACCTAGCCACCTAGCTAATGTTAGCCCCACTAGCTAGCCTTTTCTTTCCAGTGTGCGCTGCTTCTTCAGCGTTGTAAGTGTACAGTATGTATTACAACAGACTAGCCAGCAAAATATCCCGCATTCACAGCAATTTGATTCTTTTGATAAACATGTAAACGCACAGTCAGATCTCTAAAGAGCGCTGTTAGCTGGTCCGGTTTGCTAGCTTTCCAAATGACTTACCTATGCTAATATAATGGTGCAGCTAGCTTGAGTTGGTTCACCGCGACCCCGACTGTCAAAATAGCGCCGCGTGAGGGGAAAGCGGCATGAAAGTTACCGACAGATAGCAAGCGCTAAAGAGCAAAGCAGCTGAATCCTTTACGGGGATACCGGTAATTAACAACAAAATGCCAAAGAATAAAATGACATAAACTAAAGAAAAAATAAACAAAACGCAATTCCCCCTTCTCGGCTCCGGCTTCTGTGTCAGCGTCACTTTTTTTTTTTTTCTCCCACACCGACAGTTTACGTCAGCGACGTACTTCGCGGTTGCGGGGAGACGTTCAGGATACTGTAAAGTTGTTGATACGTTGGCCAATATTAGTGGACAATTAATGTACAACATGAGATAAACAAATGGTAAGAATAGTTTTTGTTTTATTTTTACTGACACAACACAAAATAAGGGGGTCGCCAGAGACAGGTTTTCCCTTTTTATCAAGTTGATTCTGTCATAGCTCACTTTGTTTCTTACACTGGCAGCAGAATAACATTATTTAGATATCGTTACAAAATATAGTAAGTCTTTGATTAGAAGGTCGCAAGTGGTCATGTCAAAATAACATATTTCAAATTCAAACTGTGTAATATTATATTAAAATTCTACATTCAACATTGATACTGTGGGGGAAAAAAATATATAAATTGATATTGTGGGCCAACAAGGCTAACCCACCTGCTGAAAATCGACCTGGTCTTTCATATCAGGTCAGAGTCAGTTCTGTCAGTTCTAACACAAACTTTATGAATCATGTAAAGCTATAGTTTGACAATGTGTGATAGATAGATGGAATTACAGCTAAAATGTGTAAACTGGCTTATTTCAGATTTATCACAGACAGCTTTTCTCTCCTTGCAGCTACTTCGACCGTTTCTCTCCAGTCGTATCAGGCCGGCTGACTTACCGCTCGACGGAGACAAACTATTATCAGTTGTTTCAGACAGAAGATACTTCAGAGTGACATAATCAAGGGGATACCTTTGATCCCACCCATTCACAAGCACAGCGCATCAAAATGTTTACAACTGTAGAAATGGTACCCTACTTCTGTCCTCTAGCACACACACCAATCATTTTTGTGTCATATGGTGTCTCTTTGCATTCATTGTCTTGCCCAAACATGCTGTAACATCTTGCTCAGGGAATCCAGCACTACTGAACTTCTAACAGGCAGACAATTGCTCTTCCATCTGGATCTACAGTGGTATGAGGCTGCATGCGTCAATGAGAAGTGTGCTCCTAAAACCCGTTTAGGCAACAGTGTTGTAGGTCACATGTGAACAGATAAAACAGATAAATCTTTGTGAAAGTGTCAGAAATGTTCAAATGTGTATCCTGCTATTAGCCATCTGTTATGATCTACGACCCTGTATTAGTGTTGCATAGAGTGACTTGTTGATCACTGGTAAGATTGTGGTGTGTAAAAACTTAAATAAACCCGATATGTACAAATGGAAGCTAAATGGAAAAAAATAAGTGTTTTGGAATTGATCTCTCACCATTTGCTTCAAAAGACAGGCGCAGCAGGAGGGAACAAGAGGAGGAATAATATATTCCAAGTACAAACCAGTGAAGATTAAACACACTGTAAGAAACAAGGCAAATCTCCTTTTATCTTGGTTTTACACTTTGAATCGGAGTTGCTCCTCACAGCCACATATCAGACATGATGTAATTGTGATGGTCATCACATTTCTCCCACAACGGGGCGCGTTTCACTGTGATACCGCACATTGGTATCACAACAAAAGGGTTTTTTCCTTGCAGTGATGGATAGCTGATAGATAGCATGCGCATAGTTTTCATTCCCAACTTAATCATTTGACTTTTATTTCTGTTTTAAAATTCCCTTCACATTGCTCTGATGTCTCTGGCAGGAGCAGTAAAGCCTTGCCGTTGTAAGACAGTAAATATTCCACCAGCTGATCTGCATCAGTATTAGTTTATGGATTGTGTTTTGTCTGCCATTAAAGCATTGCCATCTTGTTTTCATAGACGTGCTGGAAAATTTTATTGTGCCGCCAAAGCAATATTAGCAGTAGCTGGCTAATATTCAATACACAACAGCACAGCAGTTTTGTTCCCGACTGGTTCCTCTAACACAAACAAAATTCCTCTGATGGATGATGTGGTTTTTTTTCTTCCTCGTGATTCATAATTATAAGATGTGGATTTACATTTTATATTTCCTAAGATCAAAACTCCTTTGTGGATTTCTTATTAAATTCAGGATCTGTTCATTTTACTATCATGCTGTGTCTCTATATGTGCAGACCTGTGATGATCCCAGCTAAATCACCTCACAAACTTAAATGAACTGCAATTGAAGTACCAAAAGTATAATATATGAATAAGATATGGATAGACATCTGAATGAAGAGAAATATAGTTATTACTCCACGTTCATAAAGCTAAAGACTAGGCTTCTTCTCATCCCCTTTAGGTAATGAATTTATTTTGGAAGGTTTTCAGGGACACCTCCCATCCAGTTCATGTCAAAAAGTGGCCTATTTCACATTTTTGTTTATTCATGGACACTCAGAATGAGGGTGAGATCACATTACAAATAAACTGCTGCTGCTTTATGTATTTCTCTTTTCCAAGAGGTTTCACTGTGAGAAGGGTGGGCACATTGTTGTAAATTTGTCAGAAAATCCTTGAAAATATCACAGAGAATATTATTAACTGCACGGTGGTGTGGTGATGAGCACCATCGCCTCACAGCAAGAGGGTTCTGGGTCCGAGTCCCCGGGGGAACCAGGACCTTTCTGTGTTTGCATGTTCTTATTGTGTTTATATTGTGTAAGGTTTAGCCAATGATTTGGTGAAGCTCTTACAGACCAAAAGAACAAGAATGAAAATAAAAGAATTCTAAGAGAACATCGAAGACAGCTAAATAAATCCGACAAAACTTGTGATTCTTCTTATTTATATAGAAATCCACAAATTAGAGACGGCTCTTGATTTTATTTGATATATCCATCCATTATCAATACAGCTTCATAAAGATGGTGATAGCCAGTCATGTCTGTGGAAGCAAATGAAAGTAATGTTTACATGCTGGGCCGAGTACCTAGCAGAATATATCTCATATCTGTTGGATCTATGACTGAATTTGTCTACGTTTATGTTTATGTGTTTAGCAGACGCTTTTTTTCAAAACAACAGCACACATTTACTAATACAACTTTACAATTGTTTATAGGATATGTCCCAGAATTTTCATTTGCACCGAAGACCTTTTAATTTGAAAATGTTCTAAAGAAATGTGTGCACAATTATCACAAACTGCTGAATTAAGAGTTAAATTCCCTCTGGACTTCTAATCCATGCAAGTGCATTTTTGCGCAAAACTTGCAAAGTTAGTTGTAATAACCAAAACGATCCACACGTGGGCAGACAAGTACTCCTTTACCTTATTGAAGATCTTATCGTTTCCTTGGGAAAACCTTGGATTAGGATAAAGATAAGGAAAAATGAAAATAATGGAAAATAATCAAACGGAAAAGGGAATCTTCATTTGGTGGGAACACTGACAGGGTAGATCACATCAAACACCATGAATTTCTTCAGCAATACAACTTGACGAGTTTCCAAGTGCTGTTGCGCCAAGCGTGTGAGCCATTTCAGTCACTTGAGTTTATCTTGTCTATTTGGAAGTCTGGAGAGATCACAGAACATTGTGTTGGAGTGTTAACCTCCAAATGACATATAGGATTTTATTAGACCATAACCCATAGAAAATAAGTCAGCCCTGTATTTTAGGCAACTTAATTCATGACCGTGTTTGTTTCAGACGGATAACGTGCCAACAAAACCAGGACAGAGTACATTTGTATGACAGATTATCCTCCGATGCTGCTTTTCCCTCTCATTCTCTTCCTTTCACGCATTCACTCGCTCCTTGCGCGTCTTTACGGAAACCTGTTGTTCCACTTAGCAGGTAAACATGATGGAGCGTGTCTCCCACAGCCCCCGGCTCTGTCATCTTTTGCGCGAGACTACACTAAACTCTTGTGATGGCCATGTCTCACTAGTATTCCACAACTGGGTTAAAGGGCACTGATTTTCAACTTTGATCGGTGGTGATGACAGTTCCCCGTGGAGAGGCCAACGTGGCACAGAAAGCGTAAGATGTAATTGTGCTATCTCCAATTGTGCCAAAACATGCGCTTTACGCATTTACGATTCCAGTTTAAAGTTCAGTCTCGAATAAACTAAATAGCCTACCAAGCGTGGTTATAAGTAAGTTGCTTACATGTGGTCGTGTGTTGTGTGTGCGGGTGTGCGTGTGCGTGGGTGTACGTTGTGTTACAGGGCAGTCAGCTGCGTGTCCAGTAATTTCCGCGATGCCCCGGTGAGCTCATTGGTGCGTCCTTCTAACGTGTCACCAGTTTTGGTGGATTACCCCAGATATCTTCAAAATCAGGAGGGTGAGGCACCACTCTGTTCGCTCAGCTCCTGCCCTGACGGTGCCCAGCTGCTAACGAGAACTTCTGACAACACTTGGCAAAACACAACAGACTGTGGATTTAAGGATTCTTGTAACTTTTCGTTAGTTCACTTTGAGTTCA